TAGTGAGTTCAAGGCCAGCCTGAGCTACATGAGACCCTGTCTCCACAACAAACACCTAAGGAAATAAGAGTGGACTATTGCTGGGCCGTGGTGGCACATGTCTTTAATCCCAGCACTCAGGAGGCAGAGACTGGCGGATCTCTGTGATTTTGAGGCCAGCCTGGATGACAGAGCCAGTTCTAGGACAGCCAGGGCTACCCAGAGAAACCCTGTCTTGAAAAACAACAACAACAACAGAAGAGTGGACTGTTAAGGAACATAAAAGGTCCCTTGTGGAACTGATCTCTAAGAAACTGGGGACCTACAGCCAATAACACCCATTTGGTGAGCCCACTTCGCCCACCAGACTAGTTGCAGTCCAACACCCCTCAAGCTACAGGTCAACGCACTTGTAGGCTACAACTGGTATTGGGTGCACGTGTGTTTCTTTCTTCTTCTTAAAGATTATCGTTATTTTAAATTTATTTTATGTGTATGGGTGTTCTGCCCATGTCCCTGCATACCACAGTCCCATTGATGCCAGAGAGGGTGTCGGGAATCCCTGCAACTGGAGTTAGATGGTTGTGAGCCACCATGTGGATGCCGGGAACTGAACCCATGTCTTCTGCAAGAGCATCAAGTGCTCCTGACTGCTGAGGCAGCCCACCCTTCACGCTTTCCATGCTGGAGCTCCAGCTAGCACCGTGCATAGGCCAAGCACAAGCTCCACCTCTCCATTGGCTGACATACTAGCTGCCTTACATTTATGCTCTCTCTCTCTTCTGCATCTCATTTCTTCTTCTTTTTCTTTTTCTTTCTTTCCTTTTTTCAGAGCTGAGGACCAAACCCAGGGCCTTGTGCTTGCTAGGCAAGCACTCTACCACTGAGCTAAATCCCCAACCCTCACTTATTCTTTGACAATCTCATTTGTGCATACGTCTTAGCCACCCCAGTGTCTCCCTCCTACTTCCTTTGGCACCCCTCAACATGTCCACCTACCACTTTCATGTCCCCCACTTTTCTGAGCTGAGTTCACCTCGTGCTGCCAGCCGGACTGTTAACTAACCTTCTGGACTTGACCTTGTCAGGGTTTCGTCCTTGAATGCAACTGCTGTGTCCTGGGCAGAAGACTATTTCACAGCGTTCTTCCCCACCTCCAGCTCGTAGGCTTTCTGCCCCTCTTCCATATTTCCCGACCTTGGGGGTGTGGATAGAGATGTCCTACTTAGGGCTGAGCCCCGACAATCGCTTCTTCTCAGCACTTTGACCAGTTATGAGTCTGCCCTGCTGCCCACAGCAGGAGAGTCAGCTGGCTAAGGTCGAAAGCAGCACTAATCTATGATATAAGCACAAAGTTTGCTAAGTCCATTTAGCAGCATCCAGGTTCTTCCTGGGGCCTATGAACGCATAAGTCACCAGTTCTTAACCTGTGGGTCCTGACCCCTTTAGGCCTGTTTCACAGAGGTGGCATATCAGATAGCTACATTATAATTCACAACAGTAGCAAAATTACAGTTACGAAATACAAAAACTAACTTTCGGTTGGGGTCACCGCATGAGGAACCGCATTAAAGGGTCGCACGCAGCATCAGGAAGATTGAGAAGCACTGGGATTCTGGCAGGTCCACAGTCCCGGGGATGCAGTCTCTCCTGTAGAGCACACCTTAGATCCGCTCAGGAAGTGGTCACCCCTGTAACCTTCACACTACTGCTGCACCGGGGGCACAGGCCGCCTGAGGTTGCTGCTGGAGCGTGCCACGGCCAGTGCTGAGGAACCTCCGGGGGGTGTTCTCTCCCCGGCCCCTTTCAGCTGAGCTCCAGCTTGATCTCTGTCCTGCAAGCAACAGGGCCTTCCTAGCTAGTTACGGTGGGCACCAAGAGCAGTGGCAACAGCTCACGTGTTTGAAGGGCTTTGGGGGCTCTTTGACCAATTATTGGTATTTTTAACATCCACTTTTATTTTACGTGTATGTGCCTGCTGCCTATGGAGGCCAGAAGAGGACATCAGATCCCCTAGAAATAGAGTTAGAGTTGTGAGGCACCAAGTGGGTGCTGGGAATCAAACTCTGGTCCACTGGGAGAGCAACTCTTAAACACTGAGCAATCTCTCCAGCCCCCAGTAATTTTGTTTTGTTTTGGGTTTTTGTTTTGTTTTTTTTGAGACAGGGTTTCCTGGAACTCGCTTTGTAGACCAGGCTGGCCTCAAACTCACTGAGATTTGCCTGCCCTCTGCCTCCCAAGTGCTGGGATTAAAGGCATGTACCACCACTGCCCGGCAGAGCAATGTGTATTCTTTTTTTTATAATATTTTTTTTGAAATAGGTTCTTGGATCTTATGCAGCCCTGGTTGGCCTTGAACTCACTATGTGGCCCAAGATGACCAGGCACTTCTGATTCTCCTGTCTCCACTCCTGAGTGCTGGGATTATAGGCATAGACCATTTTATGAGGTGCTATGTTTACCACCTTGGTTGGTGGTGGGACCTGGGAGAGTGGAGCCTAAAAATGAGGTGGACTAAAGTCTCATGCAATAGCCAATTTGAAAAGAGGTCACCTGAGTAAAGGTCTCATGAGCTCAACCTGTATATAATAACAAGGACAGCCGCACCTGGTAAAAAAACGTTTTCCCACAGAGGCACAGAAACAATAACAATAGACAGCTGTAACCAACAATCTGAAGTGAACTCACTCCTATCCGATACACCTGGGAGGGGCACGCAAACATAGTCCACGAACAATTCAGTGTTTGGAGGGAACCGAGGTCAGCAGACTCTTGTTTTCTCACAAGCACCCAGAATTCCCCTTGGACGACTCCATTCTTGGACCCTGTTCCGACAGTGCTGGGGACTGGGCACACTGTGTAAGCACTCTACCAACAGAGTTACAACTCCAACCCTTACATTTCTTTTCATCTTGGGCAGTTGCTTTATTCTGTTTCATTTCACTTTGAGACAGGGTCTCACTATATATCCCAGACTGGCCTCAAACTCCACATCCTCCTGCCTCAGTTTCCCGAGTGTTTAAGAAGAGAGGAGACCAAAGCCTCTGCCTGCCTCTTGGTTGTGTCTCCAGTGTTGCTCAGGATCGCTGTACTCCCTTTAGTTTCTGACAATACAATTACCACGTCTGTCTGGTTGGGGACAGTTAGGCATTTTTAAACTTCCCATGCCAACATTTCTCTACGTTTCTCCTAAGATCAAGCAGGCAAAATTTCTCTAGTTCAGGTCAGTTCTCTCAGGGGAAGCACTGTAACTTCTCAGCTGTGCCAAACTGATGCCCAAGGGAAGGTTCACACCTTCAGAAGGACAGAGGATACTTGTTGTTAGACTTGGATCATTTTATTTTAGTTTGGTGCTTTCTTTTTGGTTTTGAGACAGGGTCTCACTATGTAGTCCTGCATGGCTGATCTGGATCTCAATATGTAGATTAGGCTGGTCTCAAACTCACAGAGATCTGCCTGACTCTGGTTCCTGAAGGCTGGTGTTAAAGGCACCCCTCCACTAAGCCCATCCATGGGATGTCAACTTGAAATGCACTTCCTGGAGCTGGTGCGAGAGCTCAACACATAATGGCACTTGCTGCCAAGCCTGACAAGCTGGACCTAAGTTTGTCTCTGGAACCCACATGATGGAAGAAGAGAATGGACCCCTGAAAGTTGTCCTCTGACCTCCACACATGGCACATGTGTACACACACACACACACACACACACACACACACACACACACACACACTATAATTTAAATGAAAAATAAATACAAAGCGTTTAATGCATTTTCTGCCTGGTGTGGTAGCATGTAATCGCAGCACTTGAAGACTGAGGCAGAAGGATGTTATAAATTTTAGGTTAACCTGGGCTACACAGTGATGTCAAGGGCAGTCAGGGCTATATAGTGGATGCTGCCTTAAAAACAAAACACCAAAAGGCCTGTAATCCCGGCACTTGGGAAGCAAAAGCAGGAAGAACAAACAGGGTTCAGTGTCATCTTAGTTACACAGGGAGTTAGAGGCCAGCTGGGGCTCCATAACGGCCTGTGTCAAAACAAGCAAAAACCAGCCAGCGAGCAGACAGAAGGTAAACGGGCCGGGGAGGTGGCTCAGCATTAAGAGCACATACTTTTTGCAGAGGACTTGGCTTTGATACCCACATCAGGCAACTCACAACTGCCTGGAACTCCATGTCTTCCGATTTCCCATTGTTTCTCATCACGTGCTCGAACCCTCATTCCACACACACACATTCACAATTAAGAATCTTTTAAATCTTAAACAAGTGGTTCAACTGGCGGAGACCCTCCACACTGGGGTTCCCTCCTAGGCCCCGGATTAGGCACAAACACACTCAAACACCTGTTTTCACATTTCTTTTCTTTTTTTTTTTTTTTAAGATTTATTTACTTTTGTATGAGTGCTCTATCTGCATGTCTGCCTGCATGCCAGAAGTTGGCGACATCAGGGCCCATTATAAATGGTCATGAGCCACCATGTGGGTGCTGGGAATTGAACCCAGATCCTCTGGAAGGGCAGCCAGTGCTCTTAACCACTGAGCCATCTCTCCAGCCCTGAGAGCACCTTATTGAGAGGGGAGAAGAAAAGTTAAAGTTAAAGTGGCTGATTTCTGACTCAGGCAGAAAAACAGAAGCAAATGACCTTGCAGGTGTCATTTTTCTTTCTTTTCTTTTTCTTTCTTTCTTTTTTTTTTTTGTTTTTTTTTTGTTTTTTGTTTTTTGAGACAGGGTTTCTCTGTGTGGTTTTGGTGCCTGTCCTGGATCGTGCTCTGTAGACCAGGCTGGCCTCGAACTCACAGAGATCTGCCTGGCTCTGCCTCCCGAGTGCTGGGATTATAGGCATGCACTACCACCAGCTGGCTCCAAAGGGGCTTTTGATTGCTGGACTTAAATACTTTGACAGCTGGACCTTGGTGGTCAGCCTCAAGAGGAGGAAGTGGACAAATAAGGGACTAGACCTTGGTGGCTAGCTTTTGGAATGTAATCTAAGGCAGAGAGAATGGAGAGTGCTTACCATGTTCGAGCTGGCCAGTCTCCACATCGACCCCTCCAGTCCTAGAATTCCCACTGGTCAAGTGTCAAGGCTTTGAAGAGCTTTCACGGGAAGGTGAAGCATGCTGCAGGTCACTTGGCAGTCAGTCAGTTCAGCTTCTTGGCTCTGCAGTAACTTACTAATCTTTGTTCAGATTTTGGTGTTGCTATTAATACACAGTGACTCACCAGAAGCGCAGCTTCCTGGAATGTTCTTCCCAAGGAGGTGATGTTCCTTCCCATGGAAGACAACTCTGCAAATCATTCTTTAAAGGTCTGAGCACATCCAGAACCCTTAGACAGGGGGAACAAAGCTTCCTAAACGATACAAAAGCATGTAAATGAATTGCCCTGGACACAAAGGCAAAGTATCCGTTGTATTTATCAGTTATTCATCCCACAAATATAGATCAGGCACCTGCCTTGTGCACCAAGCCAGCAGTGAAGAATTTCTGTCCACACCTTTCCTTGCAGCAGACAGGAGAGGCAGGCTGACCTGCAGCTACCAGTCATTCCATTACAGTGTGCCACGGAAGGTACGGGTAGCCTGAGGGTGTAGTACAGTGGTAGAGCGCTACCCTACAATGTGAGAGGTATTGGGTAACATCCCCAGCACCGGAGGGAGGAAGGGAGGGAGGGAGGGAGGGACGGTGGGAGAGAACACAAGAACATTCAGAGGCATATGTCACAAGAAGATTTTCTCAAGAGAGTGGCATCTAAACAGAGGCAGACAATGGAGTGAGTGTTAAGCTGGAATGCAGAGGCAGAGAGGCCATGTCAGCCAAGTTAGTGCTCACTCAATCAGGGATGCTGTTTGTGGGTGATGAAGTGTCTGGAAAATAGTTGTGTGAATTGGGAATGGTGGCTCATCCCTGTAATCCTAAGCACTGAGGGAAGATCTCTCAGAGTGGGGAGACCAGTTATACAGCAAGTTCCAAGACAGCCTGGGCTACATGGAGATCTCACAAGAAAAAATAAACTATGGTTCCAGTCGTGGTGGAGTACACCTTTAGTCCCAGCACTTGGGATGCAGAGGTAGGCAGATTTCTGTGAGTTCCAGGTCAGCCTGGTCTACAGAGAGAGTTCCAGGACAGCCAGGGCTACACAGAGAAACCCTGTCTCAAAAAACCACAACCCTGCTCGCTTCCGCAGCACGTATACTAAAACTGGAACGACACGGAGAAGATTAGCATGGCCCCTGCGCAAGGATGACACGCAAATTCGTGAAGCGTTCTGTATTAAAAAACAACAAGAGAAGCTATGGATATGCCTCAGCTCAGTGATAGAGCACTTGCCTAAAATGCATGAGATCCTACATTTAATCCTCAAGACTAGACACACACCCAAAGCAGGGAATGATGGGGTACCCTTGTAATGCCACACTTTGGAGAAGAGCTCAAAGACAGTTTTAGCCATGGCAAGTTCAGGTTAGCCTTGGCTGTTAAGACCCTGTGTCAAACTCAAAGGAAATCCCTGTGCTGGCTAGTCTTGTGTCAACTTGACAAAAGTTTAAGTCATCTGAGAGGAGGGAACCTCAACTAAGGCCTCTGGGCGGGAATCTCATTTCAGTAACTGTTTTAATCAGATTAGTACCGGGGCATGTCTGTGGAGGGTTGTCTCGTTGATATGGACCCAGCCTATTGTGGGCATCATCATTCCTACGCAAGCACACATATCTGCTTACTATATAGACCGAAGAAAACGGTCAGCTCAAGAAAATGGACAAATGGGTGTTCATTCATCTCCGCTCGATTGAGGATGTGATGACTAGCTGCTTAAGTTCATGCTGCTGGCTCTTACAAAATGGTAGTCTATAACTTGGTATTATAAAGTAAACCCTTAAAAATTTTAATTTAAAAAAAGAAAAAAAGGCCTCCAGAGCCAGGCCATGTGGTGTATGTCTGCATGTCTTTAATCCCAGCAGAGGCAAGCAGTTATCTTTGACTTCCAGGCTAGCCTGGTCTAGAGTTTCAAGACAGCTAGAGATGTCTCAGGGGTAGAGGTTGGGGGTTAAAAAAAAAAAGGGGGGGGGGCTAAGATGGGGCTGTATGCATGCCTGCAGGGCATTTTCTTAAGCATAGAAGGGGGAGGGCCCAGCTCATTCTGGGTGGTGCTGCTCCTGGCTGGTGGTTCTGGGTTCTATAGGCAGGCTAAGCAAGCCATGACGAGAAAGGGAGTAAAGGGCTGAGGCAGAAGCCCTTCCATGGCCTCGGCCTCCAGATTCCTTCCCATCTTGACTTCCTTTGATGATTAACAGGACTGTGGAGGTATAAGGTAAATAAACCCTTTTCTCGCCAAGTTGGTCATGGTGTTTCATAGCAATAGCAACCCTACAACAATCCCGTAAGTATAATTGGGCCAGTGGACATGAGGTTGTTCACAGTTGCCTCCACCTTTTTACTGTTTTTACTGTTGTGAGTATATTCACATTGTGTAACCACCGCCATCATCCAACTCCACTTTGAACTAGACTTCAACCTTCCCGTTGCTCGAGACAAGGTCTCATGCAGTTTAGGCTGGCCTTGAAGTCCTAATCCTGCCTGTACTTTGTGTGAAGGGATGGAACCAGGACTTCATGCATGCTAGACCACTAACTACCATCTGCTAGCCAGCCCCAGGTTATTTGAACCTATGTAGGACTACTTCCTCTGCCTCTTCATGGCAGTGGAACTCTTAGCTCTATAGTGGGATCCTATAGTATTTGGCTTTTGTCTTTATAAGGGCTGTCTGTTTGTACCATCTGACACCCAACTCTTCCAGCTGGTATCTCAAAGGCTTTGGACTGACTTTAGAATTTGAACACTAACTAGGCTTTCGTAATCCTGACTCAGTAACCAAGTCCTTAGAGCAGTGGTTCTCAACCTTCCTAATGCTGTGACCCTTTAATACACTCCATATGTTGTGGTGATCCCCAACTATAAAATTATTTTTGTTGCTACTTTAGAACTGCAATCTTTCCTTTATCTGTGTTTTCTGATGGTCTTAGACAACCGCCGTTCTAACCCCCAAGCTGAGAACCACCAGCCTTGGAGCCTTTCAAGTATTTAACATCTTAGTGCCTCCTGAGCTACCACTACCCCCTCCCCCATGCATTCTGATCAGGATCTTATCTGACGTACTGCCATCAGGGCTGTTTGTGTGGTACTGATGAAATTAGGATCTTGCACATCCCGCGTGCACCAGAGGCTAGCTGCACCATCCAGGTTGTCACACTCAAGTGAGCAGGATTTCCCTGTAAAACTTTGCTGGCTTTAACGCTGAAACCCATTGCACCCTGGCTACCTCTCCTAAACCAGTTTTTTCCTTTTTTTGGTTTTTTCAAGACAGGGTTTTCTCTGTAGTTTTGGTGCCTGTCCTGGAACTCATTCTGTAGACCAGGTGTAGACCAGGCTGGCCTCAAACTCCCAGATCAGCCTGCCTCCGCCTACCAAGTGCTGGGATTAAAGGTGTGCGCTACCACGGCCTGGCTCCTAAACCAGTTCTTTACTGCTTAAATGTCTTCGACCACCTTCTACCACTAAGCTACAAAGTTAAAACTCTAGTAAGATATCTGAGATTTGGAAAGGAATTTGGACACAAATGCCCAATTTTAGAATATAGAACACAAATGCCCAAACACTACCAGTTCCAGCAAAAAAACTATTAAGGCTTTACCTTAGTAGAGGAACTCTTGCCCAGCATGCAGGAATCCCAGTTCAACTCTGCATGATGCCAAAAATACTGGACATCATCCCCCCAAAAAATAAGGCTGGTTAGTTACAGCTTAGTCTGTCAACATTTGGACATGGTAGAGTAAGAAAAAATAAAGGACCTCAATACAGAGGCCAGACGGTATTAAATCATCTCCATTCCACTATGGAGCTAATAAGCAGCCACCTCTTATTTAAAAAAAAAAACAAAACACATTTCACACCTTTTTTTTTTAATCTCATCTGTAGAATATGACCGAGCACTATATTTCCATTCAAAAGACTTGCTGGGTTACAAGACCTAGGGAAGCGTAGGGTTTTGTTCTCGGTACTTTGGAAAACAAGCCACATGGGGAATTCTTCTGTTTTAGCTTGTGTTCTTCTAAGACTAGAACATGCAGAATGACTACAGGGGATGAAAAACTTTAAGATGAAACTTAAGCCATCTTAATTTTTTTCCTTTTAAACATGAAGCTAAATCTCAGAACACTTCCAAGCGACAAATTATTTGGTCTACTAAGGAATCCAGCTTCTCAACAGCTAAACACTTCAGACCACAAAGTTACATTACGTCTTACAACAAACGTTCTACCAACCTGTTGAATTAAACCTATAGTATCACAGTATCACAAGTAGAAAGAAATTTTATCTTCCCCTTAGTTTACATGCCACATAGATGTTTTAAATGTTAACAAAAATAAACAAAAATCCTGGAAAATATATTATCAGAGAAGGAATGAAAGTAAGCATCAAACAGAGTTCTGGTGAAGTTTAGTCTACTTCTTCCATGCGCGATGTGTCGTCATCTCCTTCCAGGGGTGGCATCTCTTCAGTTACAGCAGCACTGGTATCATCCACAGTAGGATCATCTTCATCAATACCTTGTTTTGAAAATAAAAGTGTTGCAGTTGTTAATGCCAGCCTCAAATGACTTGCTTTAGACTAAGCATTAAAAAATACAAAACCAAAAACCCCCAGGAACCTCATTCACACTGGGCAGGTCAAGTACATGCCTGTAAACCTCAGCACTTATGAGGTAGAGGCAGCAGAATTAGTCCAAGGCTACCCTCAGCTATCTGAGGCTAAGTCTGGGCTAATGTGACTATCTCAAAGGACACTATTCATTTACCCCTTACATAGCTGAGATCTTCCACAAGAGCAATAATCCAATTTTTGTCTCAAATAGCTCATAATGAACAACCCATTCGACATGTTTCTTTTCCTTCTAACATGTAGTCAGTCTGCAGCTTACCTAGACCAAGCTTGATCATCCTGTAGATCCTGTTAGCATGTGTCTGGGGATCTTCCAGACTGAAGCCAGAAGACAGGAGTGCAGTTTCATACAGCAAGATGACCAGATCCTTCACAGACTTGTCATTCTTGTCAGCCTCCGCCTTTTGCCGTAGGGTTTCAATAATGGAGTGATCAGGGTTTATCTCCAGGTGCTTCTTTGCTGCCATGTAACCCATTGTTGAGTTGTCTCTGAGGGCTTGAGCTTTCATGATTCTCTCCATGTTTGCTGTCCACCCGTATGTGCTCGTGACAATACAGCATGGGGATGTCACCAATCGGTTTGATACAACCACCTGTTTAAAAACAAAAACAAACACACCAAGTGATGACTAAGGCCTATAAAAACTTAGCAAAAATGCTAATATTTGCAAGTGTAGGCACCAATCAACAGTTATGTAATTCAAACTATTTTTTTTCTTCTAAGATAAAAGGACCAAGGAGCAGGTTAGTGATAGAAACGCAGGGAAACATTCACATACCTTTTCAACCTTTTTCTCCAAAATATCTTTCATAATTTTGCAGAGGTTTTCAAATTTTGTCTTCTTCTCTTCCTGTTTCTTTTTCTCTTCTTCATCTTCTGGGAGTTCCAGTCCTTCTTTGGTAACTGACACCAAGGTCTTACCCTCAAATTCCTTCAGCTGTTGCACACAATACTCATCAATGGGCTCAATCATATAGATGACTTCTAAGCCATGCTTTCGGAGACGTTCCACAAAGGCCGAGTTAGCAACTTGGTCCTTGGTCTCACCTGAGAAATATAATATTGTAAAGTTAACTTTTAGAAATGGTTTCATGCACTCAAGTTTTCTACCTAGCTACAGGCTTAAGTCTAAAGTGTAACTAGATTGGACACTCTTGCTTACAAAAATGCTGTCCTCAGCATCACACAGGTAGAGAAAACACCATCACCTGTGATAAAGTAGATGTGCTTCTGGTTTTCCTTCATTCTGGTGCAATAGTCCTTGAGAGACACCATCTCATCTCCAGAAGCAGATGTGTAGTACCGCAACAGCTCTGAAAGCTTCTTCCGATTTTGAGAGTCTTCATGAATTCCAAGCTGAAACAAACCATAAGGCACATGAACATTTCCTACATTTACAGATAGAATCAGTCTTTTATCCAAACACTTGAAAGGCAGAGGTATCGAAGTTTGAGGCCAGCCTTTGATCCCAACACTCAGGAGCCAGAGGCAGGAGGATCTGAGTTCAAGGCCAACCTGGTCTACAAAGTGAGTTCCAGGACAGCCAAAGCTGTTACAGAGAAACCCTTTCCTCAAAAAACAAAAACACACTTGTCTCAAAAACCAACCACCAGAAACCAAAGCTAGTTTGAAAACTGCCAGTAACAGGAAAATGTGTCAACACCAACCTTTATATTTTTTGAGAACTGCTCATAAAACTTTTTGTAGTTTTCTTTATCTTCTGCCAGTTCAGTAAATAGTTCTAAACATTTCTTGACCAAATTCTTCCTGATAACTTTCAAAATTTTGCTTTGCTGCAACATTTCACGGGAAATATTTAGAGGAAGATCCTCAGAATCCACCACTCCTCTAATGAAATCTGGGTAGGAAAAGAAGACCAAAGATAACTAATCATTCCTAAACACTGTAATGCATCATCTTTTATCTCCAGGGGACTGAACCCAGAGCCTCAAGTTAGGCAAGGACTCTGCCAACAGGTTACATCCTCAGCCCCCCTAAACCAATACAGACCCCAGAGTAGGATCCATTTTCTTGACTGTTTGTTGTTAACACTGCTTATTCTTCCTACTCATACTTACTCAGATACTCAGGGATTAACTCCTCACAGTTATCCATGATGAAAACTCTGCGCACATACAACTTGATGTTGTTCTTTTTCTTTCTGTTTTCAAACAGATCAAAAGGAGCACGTCTTGGGACAAAAAGAAGGGCCCGGAATTCCAATTGTCCTTCAACAGAAAAATGCTGCAATAAAATGAAACACTTGTAAGTGCACATTCTATAGGTGAGTGGGTGTAAAGATAATCCAACCTGATGAACTACAGACTAGCTTTAAAGCATGCAGTAGTCACTTACCTTCACTGCCAAATGCTCTTCCCAATCGTTGGTTAAGCTCTTGTAAAATTCTCCATATTCTTCATTAGTAATGTCATCAGGATTTCTGGTCCAAATAGGCTTTGTTTTGTTGAGTTCTTCTTGATCAATGTACTTTTCTCTTATCTTCTTCTTCTTCTTGTCACCATCCTTCTTTTCTTCTTCTTCATCAGAACCAACATCTTCTATTTCAGGCTTGTCCTCTGACTCCTTTTCTTCTTTTTCTTTCTCTTCCTCTTTATCTTCTTTTTCTTCAGCTTCATCATCACTGACTTCCTTATCACGTTCCTTCTCCACCTTCAAACAAACAAGTCAATGTCTGCATTATACAACTAAAGGATACAGCTAAGGAATAAAATATAAATAAATCAAAATAAACCCAGCAGGCATTACATACCCAAAGGCTTCTTTCCCATCAGTATTGTCTATACTTTCAACAACAGCCCTTTTTCAGAATATACAGACCTAACAAACTGGTTCCAAACAGGCTTCACACTACTTCTAGTAAACACTAGATTTACCATTACTTGTAAGAACTAGGATTTTTAGGCTGGAGAGATGGCTCAGAAGTTAAGAGCACTGGCTGTTCTTCCAGGGGTCCTGAGTTCAATTCCCAGCAACCACATGGTGGCTCACAGCCATCTACAATGAGATCTGGTGCCTTCTGGCATGCAGGCATACATGCAGGCAGAACACTAGTATATGTAACAAATATTAAAAAACAAAAAACTAGGATTTTGGCCAGCCATGTTGGCACACGCCTTTAATCCCAGCACTTGAGGCAGAGGCAGGTGGATCTCTCTGAGTTTGAGGTCAGCCCGATCTACAGAGTGAGCGGCCACAGCTGTTATAGAGAAAACAAACAAAAACAACCCAAAACCTAGCACTTTAGTTATTTCAATTTACTCTCAAGTTGAAAGGAAAACTTACAAAGAGAGTAATGGGATAGCCAATAAACTGAGAATGTTTCTTCACAATCTCCTTTATTCTCCGTTCCTCCAAATACTCGGTTTGGTCTTCTTTCAGGTGTAAGATAACCTTTGTTCCACGGCCCATTGGTTCACCTGGGGAACGGAAAAAGGTAATGGCCTCAATTTAAATGGCTGAGACAGTATTAAAATAGTCTGTAACCTCAGTACTTGCTGGAGGCGTGAGGGGGAGTGAAATCATTATTAGTGTGTCTTCACTCTGCTCCCGAACCCCAGACAGCTCACCTTCACTACACATGCAAAGGCCCCCACAGTTTGCACTACTACTGAGCAAACACTACCTGTACATACAATTTTTGCATTTCCTCCAGCAACCCAGCTCCTCAAACTCACCCTCTAACAATTTTGTCGGAGGACTAAACTAGGTATCACAGACTACTTCTGAACTCTTTACAATTCTCCCACCTATTCTCAACCACTTGACTAAACCTAGTCAGGCAAACACCGCCACCCCCAAACCACCCCAATCTCCGCAAAAATTCTGGCTTTTGCCTACCTGTGTCAGTCCTCACTGTGAATGAGCCCCCTGCTGAGGATTCCCAGGCATACTGCTCATCATCATTATGTTTGGTGATCACAGTCACTTTCTCAGCAACCAAATATGCAGAGTAAAAACCAACACCAAACTGGCCAATCATAGAGATATCTGCACCAGCCTGCAAAGCCTCCATAAAGGCTTTGGTACCAGACTTGGCAATAGTACCAAGGTTATTGATCAGGTCAGCCTTGGTCATTCCAATTCCGGTAT